GCGCACACACACACACACACACACAAATATCAGCGTTTCAGAGTATTCACAAGTGTGCAACTGAGACTGAATATAGAACTTGTCAAACAACAGTCACAAGAATACACAAATAAAATCGCAGAAACATTAATTCAGCCATAGTTAAAATCTAAACTGAATACCTCAAATAAATAGATACAATGTTACACATACAATTATACCAACAAGATAATTAGCAATACATAATAATTCTCCTTCCTTAACTTACACTTACACTTAATGTCTATATTAATGCCTACTGTGGGACATCCATCAGTCAGCATGCACTCCCCTTCTATTCCTTAGCTGTTCATCCCGACAGAAGAGCAAAAATTCATCAACAGTATATGACGGATTATATATTAGGACATCTCTTATTTCATTTGTGAACTGTTTTTTATCATGTATTAAGTTAGATAAATATCCGGGCAGACTGTTAAATATTTTTATACTCATGCAATGGACCCCTTTCTGCCTCATTGCGAGATGTGATTGTAGGACATGTAAATTTCTTTCGTGTCATGTTGGTCTCTCATAAATTGAATAATTAAAAGTAAAATACTCCAAGTTATTTATCATAAAAGTCATCAGAGATAAAATATATTGAGATACCAGTGTTAATATATTTAACTTTATAAATGCTGGCCTACATGACTCTCTATGTTTCATCCCCATTATTATTCTAATAGTCTTCTTTTGTAAGCGAAAGATCTTCTTGGCCTCTGACAAATTACCCCAAAAAACTATTCCATATCTAATGAGTGAATGAAAGTATGCATGATATATCATAGTGGTTAATTAATTAAGCCCAGTGATAATTTTTCTTTTGCCTTATTTTGCCATTGGGTGCTGAAATTTTTTAGAAATCTATTTCCTTCTTTCTAATTTTCCCTTTATCTCTTCTTTCTTTGCCTCTATTTTCTTTTTTTAATTCTTCCTCTTACCATTCATTTCATCTTCTGCATTTGTCTTTTTTCACAATTGTATCACTAACCCAAAAATAGTCATTAATTTGAATGACGTTCATGTGCAATCCAGTATTCACATTATGCATATCACACCACCTACAGTTGTATATTACTCATAAAGTTTAATAATGGGACTGGCAGTATGGCAACTTTTATTTCAAGAAAAAGCTGGAACCTTTTTGTGGTTTCTCATTTTATTGTGAAAATTTGGAAGCCACACAATAATTTGTAAATATTGACAGTTTATTGGCTAGAAATATATGGAGCTTATGGGTACCGTTATATTACTGCTTTGGAAAGGTGCATGCCTTTGGTTTTGAAGTGGAGGTATCAAAATATAGATGTTTTGATATTATTAAAACTGATTTTAAGGCTCGTTTATTGTTATGTTACTGACATTAATCCAGGATTTTGACAAAGACTTCTGCATTGCAGGGGTTCATAATCACCTGCTTCAGAAATTTTAATGTCGTGAAGTAATCGTGACTGCCATCTCTGTGATGATATGTTTAACACTCCTATTTGAGAGGTCGAAATTTACTGAGATGTAAAATTGTGTAGACTGCAAAAATGAAGTAAGACATTTCTCATTGGACTTGAAGTTGTACGTAATAGACATACATATACGCATGGTCGTCGACTTATGACCGACTTCTGTTCTGACTGACAGGTCATAATTTGATCTGGTCGTATGTCGGCCATGTATTTATTAACTGTATTTTTTAACCTTTATAATTTATTTTTAAAGACTTGTACATTTTAATCATCTATTATTTTTATTATTTTTTTTTGCAGTTGTAAGTGTGGCCGGTCGTAAGTCGCATAGGTTGTCAGTTGACGACTAAGTGTATTCCTATTTATTTCATAGCACCAATGACATTACTATTTTCATTCATCCTACATTTATAGTACAGTTGAATGTGTTACTTTTTTTGTTGAATAGGATTGAAATGAAGTGAAACCAAATATGGATACGATATATTTAAATATATCTTATGGTAGTCATCATGTTATGAATTCAGGCAGTCAAATATACTGTTGTAATACATATCAAACATTAATTATGGCTGACCCGTTCTTTGTAAACATATTCTGGATGCTTTGATAATCTAAATAAACTAGCTCAGATTCCTAGATTGGTACAAACTACACTTGCTATAACCTTATTAACACAACTCAGCATTCACATTACAGAAACAGCACCCTGAGACAGAAGACTGTTTACTTAATGTTGACCTACTGTATACTTCTGTACAGTGAAATGAAACAGGATTTAACATGTTATTACTTACCAGTGGTATCCTGAGAGAGTGTAATTTTGTGTTTCATGAGCCTAATCAAAAGATGATATTGAGATGGTGATGGTTTTAAAAATTTTGGTCATGCATTTTTAAGTGGCTTCTGTTTATTGCCAATTTCTGCCAGTGGATAATACTTACAGAATTTTTTTATTGATTTGTAGTGAATTTATCGTTGAAATGTCACCTTCAATACATATTTCCATACACAAGATTTGAAGATCTTATGGCAGAGACTATGAAGATTACCATCTTTTGGGATGAGCTACTGTTTAGAAAAGTAGAAGTATGTTTTGCTGTTTGCTCACTCAGTATACTCTTTGAGGCTGAACCTGGAAATATGTAATACATTCCTCTGAAATGTATGGAAACTTCTGATAGTCCAGATCCTGTTATATTTAAGACGATATGATTCTTTATAATTCAGTAGATTTGCATACCAATTGTTCATACTAATGTGACATAGATATTGCATTGCTATTGAAGAAAGTTTTGAAGCTGCAATATGCTTCAGTGTGAGCCATGTTTATATGATTTAATTTGCTTGCACCCATGATATAACTCATTAGAAAACAAAATCCATGGGCTCTAGTCCGCAAGCGAACTATACTGACTGAGCGACTGCCGCTTGTCAGCAAAGTTAGTGCCAACTTTTGCATATAGAGGGTGTCACGTGGTCAGCATAACGGATCCCCACGGCTGTTAATCTCGGTTTTCTAGACTGGAGCTGATATTTCTTTGAAATAGCTCCTCAATTGTCCTCACGAGGCTGAGTGGACCCCGTTCCAGACCTCAGAAAATCTGATAGTGCCAGGAATCAAACCTGGGACCTCTGGATCTGTGGCCATGAACTCTGACCACTAGACCACAAAGGCGGTCATTGTAACTTGTTATGTAAGCAGAGTTGTTTGAATTTCAGTTCGTTTTCCTCTGGAATAGTGCGTAGTTAAAAATGTGTGAAACAGAAGCATACAAAGTTTAGCTGGCACAATGCACAGGACGTTATATGCTGTTTTGTGTCATGTCAGGTGGCAGAAATAATGAAATGGTAATGAAGAAGACAATGCTATAATAATAACAAACTCTCTCACACAAACCTTCACAATACACATATTGTTCTATGTGTTATTGTGTATTCCTTGTCACCATGCATGGCAGCATGTGTAGGACTTGTCCTGTGTGTAAGTCTGCATGTTTGAACTTGAATACCACTGGACAGATGATGATGAAATTTGGTTTGGGCATTATTATGGCATCAGAATCAAGAAATTGGAGAACACCCTTTTTTTCTGTCTTTTACTCTAGCTTTTCTTTCCTTCCCTCTCTTCTTTATGTTCTTTATCTTGTCTCTGTTTGATATTTTCCTATTTTGATTTCTGTAAAGACTTATCTCTTTCTTTTCAGTCTCCATTTTCCTTTCACAATTGTTTATTAATGTAAATTGTTCCCATATCTTTTAATGTTGTTTAGAGACAATCCGATATTTACATATTATGCATATTACTGCACCTACATTTGTATATAGTGATGGAGGGCAGTTTTGTTGCAGATGGTATAAGAACATATAATCTAGTGAAAGTGGGGAAATGTTTATGGTTTTCTCAGGTTACTATGAATATGTAGAAGTCACTCAATGATTTGTGCAACTTCATATTTCATTGATTACAGATAATCAGAATATATAGAGGTCCTGTTTCACTGCTAGTTCTGATGTGGTACTCACTGTTGTTTCTGGTTTCTTCATGAATGGACAATCAGCAAGTAGATACTTGGATAATATTAGAATGTTGTTATGAATCTTGCTGTATATTGTATCTTGGTAGACTGTTGCCACCATTCGTTAAAAATCTGTTACCATCTACCAGAGTACATGGCTTCACATGCCAGAAGACAGTAATCTTTACACTCACCTGGGTGAGAACATCAGATTTCTCAAAGTAATCATGTTAACCATGTCTCTGAAAATGTTCTTAATAGCTATAATGGACAGGTCAAATCTTAGTGAATTGTACTTGTATATAAAGGGTGTTTCACTCGGGGCAGAACCCAGCATTTCGTTAATAACTCGGATACTAATAAAGATACAGCAACGAAATTTTAACAGTACTGTAAAGTAGCACGTCTCTTCCATGAGAAATGAAGTGTGTGTGTGTAATGCGCCGTCTGAGTCTCAAGACATGGAGTAGCAATGGCGGCGATGTGTCGTGCCCGTTAATCAGCTGTCCTTATCTGCATCTGCATATCAGCGGAAACGATCCAGGATGTGAAGGCCCAACTGCTGGCATCTCCTAAGAAGTCTTTGCGCCGAGTTTCACAGGAATCAGGTCTTTCGACAAGCACTTGCTATCGTGCTGCGAAGAAATCTAAGCTTCATGCATTCCGAATCTTAGTGGTGCATGAGTTAAAAGAGCCAGATTACGTGAAGAGAGTGGTGTATTGTCAGTGGTTACAGACCCTTGTCCAGGATAATCCGGACATTCTGGACTACACTTGGTTTTCAGATGAGGCGTGGTTCCATCTTTCCGGATATGTGAATTCGCAAAATTGTCGCATTTGGGCAAGCGAGAATCCCAATACGATACATGAAGAACCCCTTCATTCCAAGAAGATTGGTGTTTGGTGTGGAATTTCCCGGCGGCGCATAATTGGACCCATCTTCGACACGACAATCACAACAGCAGCGTACCTAGATATCTTCCACTGCTTTGTGAATCAACTGGATGATGAGGAATTATCCATCGGTTATATCCAGCAGGATGCAGCAACAGCACACACCTCGCGCGCAAGCATGGCTGAAATCCAGTCTTTTTTCGGCAACCGCGTCATTTCCAGGGGACTTTGGCCACCGCACTCGCCCGATCTAATGCCGCCTGATTATTTTTTGTGTGGACATTTGAAAGCGCAAGTTTACCCCAACAAACCGCGAACCATAGAGGCTTTAAAAGCAAACATAAGTGAGGCCATCCAAGAAGTGACACCTGACGTACAGGCAAGGACTTTCCAAAACATGGCGCACTGAGTCCAGTGCTGTCTGGACACAAATGGTGGCCATTTCCAGCACTTGTTATGATGTCACCAAACTTCACATGAACTGAGGTAAGTCCACTCCAAATTTCATTGCAATATCTTTATTAGTATCCAAGTTATTAACAAAATGCTGCGTTCCGCCCCGAGTGAAACACCCTTTACTTGTATATTATATGGAGTGTGGAGATGAAGAAAGGCACTTCCTAGTGAATTCAATCTAATACCTAATAAGCAAATGTTCCTATTAATTTTGTAGTACTAGTTTTGTGATAATGACATTGGGCCTACATATGTACTGCAGTTGATCCTGTTATTTAATTGCTGAATATTATTCAAATTTTGTAGCATTGCTTCCCACTTGTGGTACATATAAGTAAAAACTGAGGAGTTACTCTCACACAGATGTTTTTATTACAATTATTGACTTTTTGGAAGTTAGCTATTTTCTTGATTTTTTTAAATGTCATATTATAGAGTGGGCTCTGTCTCTCTCCCATGGTAAAAGGCAACTCAGTTGGGTCCAATCAGTAGAGGTGGTCCTTATCTCTGGACACCAGAACCAACATAGAAGAGGATATATAAAGGAAACACAACATAAAAAATCTGCAGGAGTTAAGACAAACATTAGAAAACTCCACACACCCATGGCCAATCATAATATAACGGCCAAACTGAAATATATTTTGGCCTAGACAGATGATTCTTCAGGAATATACAAATGGTGACAGAATACACATAAACTACAATGCTTGTATAAAATGTGTTAGTTAAAAAGTGGTCAGATCCAACTAATTATTGTGTGTTCATTATATTTAAATTAAAAATAGATGCACAGGTTTTAAAATTTAAGGAAAGTTGAAACTAAAGTGAAAGAGCTCCTACAACACACAAAAAGTGAGAGATGTGAAAACCATTAGGTCTAACTTCAAAAGACCTCCAAGAACAATATTTTGTAGTGATCTTGTCTTTGCATTGTTTTAGTTTTATTTTTTTAAAATCCTAATTCATGAATCTTATTTCTTTAAATTAATGAATATGTAGTACTAAGGCAGATCTGACTCAATTTTAACAAATTCTATGTGAACATTTTTATTTATATGTATTCCATCACCATTGTATATCCCACAAGAGTCACCTGATGAGATCCTACCTGGCCAAACTTGTAAGTCAAAAATACAAATGTTTGTAGGATGGTAACCTCTCCATTTCTATGATTGCAATTAAAAGAAGACATATAATTCTTTATTAGAATCTGTTATAACACAACAACATAATGGTCAAGGTCAACATTACCTTAGCTACATGTTTTGGCTTTTAAAGCCATCAGTAGGGAAAATACATGGTTACCATATCCACAGACTATTGAACTGCATTTCATTGTGACAGTAGAACTGGATACTTGATAACTGTGTTACACTATGAAATACAAGGTATAAAAATCAATGAATTATAAAATGATGATAAAACGAAAGTTGTATAATAAAATATGGTTAGAAGCTTGTCATGTCATATTTCATATTATGAAATCATTTGTTGCAGTCTTGTTGTTATATTCCCAGCAGACATATAGAGGTATACTCAAGACTTGTATATGCATAGTTAACTGCTTGGAGGCCCATGGTATTGGTGTAGTATTATTTTACATTAATTGTTTGGCTGGTGTCTCATTTTACAATGTATTTTGTCCGCTCTAGTGGGACTACAGGTTGTAAATGCAGTTCAGTAGTGTGTGAATTTAGTAACCATATATTTTTACTGATAATGGCTTTAAAAGCCAAAACATTTAGCTAAGGTAATGTCGACCTTGACCATTATGTTGTCATGTTATGACAGATTCCGATTAAGAATTATATATAATAACCCCAACAGGATGCATGAAATGAAGAAAAATAAGAGAGGGCATGTATGGATAGAATTTATGTAGAAATTATTTTGATCCTCGTTGAGATTTGAGTTTAAGGAGTCGTGTAGTTTTGTAATACATACAAAACGTTGATTTTGCCTTGCCCATTTTTCCATATGCTCTTGTTGAACCTTCTAGATGCCTTGCAGATCTGTATAAACTAGTTCACGTTCTCTGATGAATTCTAACTACAATTAACCGACTGTGTGGTTTTATGCAATGAAGAGAAACAGTTTCTTACATTTTGTCGCTCAGTAATGATATTCTGAGGCAGAGTAAATTTTGCAGATTTCATGAACCTTAACACAAATCATTTTCCTTTCCAACACATGGTGGTGTTGTTGGCTTTAAATTTGTGTTAAACATCTCTGTAAGTGCATCCATTCACTGCCAGTTTCAGCCACAGAAAATGCTTACAGAAGTGTTTATATTTATTTGAGACGTGTTTTGCCTGGGGAAGCCATTTTGAACCCATACTTATATATACAAAATTTCAGCTTTTAGCTTACTGTCATGTGGGATGGGATGCTCTGTAGCCTGATAAAAGTTTACTTGCTGTCTGCTTACTCAGCTTACCCTTGACCCTGAAGATGGGAGTTCTAGTATGTAGTAGGTATTACTCCACCACAGTATTTTTGAGAGATAATTGTATAATTATATGAAAATTGT